AGCTGCAGCAATGGACGTGAAAACCAAAATCTGTAAGTGCCATGCATGATGACAGCAAAGCAAAGGAGGAACGAAAACTGGTCCTCGCTGTCAATGTCAATACCTTATTCGTGCTATCTTCTTCAATCAACTTCTTCAGACGACGAATAATTTGCTCAAACTAAAAACGTAACTTTAGTACATCCCAAAGATGCAGCTACTGAACTGCAGAAAATCACAAAGTTATTTCATACTACCTTAACCGTCAAGCGCACTCCTGGAATCAGCTCATCCTTTTTGTCCACAACATACATTGTGGCATCCACAGGAAAAACTTGACGACAAGTTATGCAGCGCACTTTATTAGGAAGTGACGGCATCCTGTTCAAAGAACTTTACTGGACAATGAACGCTGCAAAATGAGAGCAAAAACCTACGACTTTAATTTCTTCATGCAAGCCGCGCATACAATATGTGCACACGGAAATACAATCCAGATGTCGTTCAGTTCCATATAACAACAAGGGCATTCTCGCACGGTATCCGATTGGTTTTCTCTGCAACTAGCTTATTTTACAAACTCGTGGAGGCCAAAGTATGGATGAAACTGACCGCTGCAAAGTGTTCAGATAGCGAAGAGCACTCAAGGAACTGGACAGCGCCTTAGCCGAAACAGTCTCACTGCGACTATATATGGCTATAGGGATCTGAAAAACCAAGTTTCAGTTTGTGTAGGCAGAAAACAGCTCGGCGCCCTAGATGCCAAAAATCTGAAGTCACACCAAAGCCTGCTTATGTTTGAATACATACTTTTTCTGAGCGTTTCATTATTTGTTCAGCCCGATATTTTTTCGTTCTCAATGGTACAAAAAATAAGCTGAAAGTCTACACTTCCAAAGATCAGCCTCATTTTTAGACAACTCCAACAGAATATAGCACTATCACTGCAAATACTTTAAATGAGCTTCTTCGCCGGGTGCTCTCGTAACTACAAAAGGCTCCTACTTCAGCAGATCGCACTCACGAATGGCTTCTATCTGGGGTAAAGTCAAACCTGATACTCCGCGTGTAGCTTATGACAGCAAAACCCAATCACAATTCCACTTTCTTTACTCACAAACTCTGAAACTTACGTCCAGTGTATATTTTGACAGCAGCAATGGCCGCGGTAGATACGGTATCGAGATATTCATCCCAAACTGGAATCGCGTCGCACCCATAACCAGTTCCCTCCTGAACAAAAGATTTGAGTTTTCGAGCATGAGCATCTTTGAGCATGATTGGAAAATTGTCTGTATTTAAAAGGAGTCCCTAGGCTGCTTCCAGAGTTGCCGCTGACAGAGCGTCAACCAATAAATATGGGGTTGGCCCACGTGGATATCTGGGACGATGCTGGCATGGGCAACTATGGACGCAGCCTTGGGCGCTCCCGCATGCATGCCCAAAGCGAGTATCTCACTACTTCGATTTAAGACAGGTATACGTGAAACGCACAGATATAGTCGTCCTCACCCCACTAGTCGCTAGGTGGGCGAAT